TGCTCTGCTCTGCCCTGCCCTGGCCTGGTCTGCCCTGCGCACTCCAGTCCTAGTTGTATGTCCAGTGTTTCTGTTTTCTATAAATATATATACGTATATAAGTTATAAGTTATTTTGATAATTAATTTGTAGTGAGCGATAAATATCGATATTTTCAATTCTTGCTTTTGTGATGGATATAAAATAAAAAATTTAAATAAAAATTGCTTAAATTGTTTGCGCTATGACAAAACATTTTATAAGTATTTTCTATTTAGCATAACTCAATTTCTTTTCCCCAAAATTAAATAAAAAGTTCTATATATCGGTCTACACATATTTATAGGAAATCTAGCCCCTTCAGCTCCACCACGCAGAGTATCTGCCCGTCGAGCACTCCCAGCTAGAGCATTTGTTATTTCTTTTCAATGTTGTTAGAAATAACATTGATAGACCAGCCAGTTTTAAGCTCTATTGTGGGCTGAGGAGCTTATAAAAAACGGGGAAGAGAAACTTGTTAGTATTGTTAAATAAGCTGAATCTGTGGCATTTGCAACATTGCGTATACGCAGCGTCAGTCCGTGGTCCGTGGTCTGTGGCCACATTTGTGTCCAACTGCTTGTTGTTGTTGTTGTTGTTGTTCGTTCGTTTCGCTTGACTGGCTGAAGTGTCATCGGCGACTGTGAGTGAATCCTTTTTGTTAGCTGTCAAGCATGCGATTGAAATTTAATTTGATTTACTACAACAAAAATTGTTTTTATTATTCATTTAGGTTTTCGGTGGCCTCGACTGGACATCTGTGCACCGAAAAAGTAATTTAGTGCTGGGAAAATGTTTAAGAAATACAAAAAAATAAAACCGCAGCTGTGTCGCACTCACTCTCACTCTCCCTCTCTCCCTCTCTCTCTTTCTCTCTCTTGCGCTTGGCTCTCGTGATTTGTTGCCGCATGCTGAGTGCTCTATATATTTTGTAATTTTTCTAATGATGTTTATCAAATAATTCAATTTGGCTCCACAAAACATTTCTTATATGTGTGTGTGTGTGTGTGACTGTGTGTGTGTGGGTAGCAAAAGGCGTTCAACAGTCCTTACTCCCAGAGCGTGTGTAGGCACACACACACACACGCACACCCACTTGCACATACATATATAAAGTGCCATTGTTGGCCAACTAAACCGAAATTGAATTTTTCTCCCTCGTTGACTAAAAACCGCAAACAAAAGGTTTTGCGTCCCATGCTGAATGACTGAATGAACATGTGTGTGCATGCAATAGAGAATTGTGGCAGAGAAAGCCTTGCAGCTGTCCTCAGATATAAACTCTCTCACTCTCTCACTCTCCCACTCTCCCCTCTCTCTCTCTCTCTCGCTGTCTCTATCTCTCACGGCTCTTCATCATTTAACTGTTATCCAGAGTAAACAAAAAATCGCCCTGGTCCTGCTGCTGAAATTGAGTAACTGGCCAAATCGCATAAAGCATAAAGCCCATAAAAATGGTCAGCAGCTAGCATAAATATTATTACATTAGTCGCCATTAGACAGGCCAACGAGCGTCTCTCTGTATGTGTGTGTGCAGCTGGCGAGAGCCCTCTAGGGATACACAGAGAGTGTCTGTCTCTCTGTCTGTCTGCCTGTCCACTAACTGCATTTCGTTCGTATCTAATTTATACAATTATTGGCCTCACAGCGACATAAAATGCCAGCTGACAGGCGAATGGGGTTGGGCTTGGGTCAGAGCTGGGCTGGGGTTGGGTTTGGGGTTTGGGTCTGGGTCTGGGGCTTGGCGTGTCAGACGCATTGAGTGTCGTCTTAACTTGTCACATTTACACCCCTTTAACAGCACTAGCCGTGGCAGCAGCAGCAGCAGCAGGAGCAGCAGTTGTGCTACCTCCAAATGGGGAACGTGGGTAATAAATTTCGAAAATTGATTTTGCCCTGTTTATTGTGAATTTGTGGAATTTATATTGGTTTACCCTAATGCGACAAGTAGATGCCAAAGATATGTCATGTGGGCATTGTCATTGGCATTTCCTCCCTCTGCCGTTCGCTGTCGACCTGGTCAGATAGCGTGTGGCATGCCACAGAAATCGGTTAGAGGCAACAAATGAATGCCAAACGCATGTTTGAGATATGAAAATCTGAGCACAACTTGAAACGGATCTTTAAGAGCCGAGAGTTGGAAATACGAGTGGAGCTTGTCATCATAAACGTTTCGCGCTCCACGCTGCGTATGTGTAATATTAAATTGTTGTCTTGAGAAAATAATGTTTACTTTAGCAAGTACAAACAGCAGCAGCAGCAGCAGCAGCAGCAGCAAACAACAAAGCAACAGCAGCTGTGCTCGTTCGGGTTTGCTATGCTGCCACGCCCATGCCTCTACCTAACCGCCCTCGCTTCCTGCTCAGCCGTTTGGGCTGCAGCTTAATGCATTTGAGTTTGTCATTTGTCTTTGGAGCGTTGCATGCGGCACGCGGATTATAAAAGTCGAACCGAGTTAACTGGCAGCCATGCTCAGCCCAGCGCAGCGCATTGGCAGCTGCCACATGCCACATGCCACGTGGCAGCTATCCCAACAGTCTGATCGAATATATATCTCTGTGTATACGTCTATGTATATGGCTTACATGTGCATTAGTATGTGCACTGCGAGAAATTAATGTTTGCATTTGTATTCCGAGTGAGATTATTAGAAAAATTACTTTATATGCTATATTTCATTGAGAAATATTAAGGTTTACACTCGAAGAAATTTGTAAATACCAGAAATTTCTTTGAGTTTTGAGAAATGTTGTTGCCTATATAATAAAGTATTTTATATTAAACTAAAGTTTAATATTTTTAATATTTTTAAGTATTTTATACTAAACTAAGGGAACTTTAAGATATTTTAAATATTTTATAAATAGTAAAAATATTTTTAATATTTTAAAAGTATGCTAAAAATATTTGTATTATTTAAAAAATATACAAAAAATATTGTTATCATTAAAAAAATTGTTTAAAATTTATAATGGATTTAAAAAAAAAAACATTATTTAAAAAAATATTTTTAAGTAATAATGCTTCATCTATGGATTTTTCATAATTTTTTTCTGAGCTAAATTAAAGTGCCTACGTATGCCTAGCGTCATTTTTTTTATTTCAAATTTTAGATATATTTCGTGATAAAAAAAATTACGCTGATAATTAAGATTTAACCGAATTCCTTGAAAATATATATAATTGTCTACTTCGATTAAAAAACTGCGCTAACTCGTCTCTCTTATCTCTTTCTACCTTTCTCCCTTTTTCTGCAAGTGTATGCCTGTATGTGTACAAGTGAGTGTCTGTGCATGTGTGCTTACTCCCTCCCTCTCCTGTCACGCCCCTTTGTTCGCAGTGAGATGCAAATGGAGTAGGATTTGTTAAGGCGACTGACTGGCAACTGTATGTGTGTGTGTATATATATATGTGTGTGTGTGTTTTAGCTGGGAAACGTGCATAAAACTGCAACTAATTGCGCGAACTAATCCATGGCCGTGACTAGCCATAAGCGCTAAAAGGAACAATATTACGGATCTGGGCGGGCAATTAACATCGCAGCAGCAGCAGCAGCAGCAGGAGCAGCAGCAGGAGCAGCATCCCAGCTTCAGCTACTGCTGCAGCTGAATTTAATCCCGTCGAGTCTTAAGGAAGCGACCAGGCGTGATATGGCAACAGAATTGCAGATAAGAAACGAAATGCTTTTGCATGCACTTACCATTGGGGGATACGATAGATATCGTTCGCTGTTCATATTGTAATAGGAGCCGTCCGGCGGCGGTGCTGGCGATGGGGACGGAATATAGACGCCCTTGCTGATGAGCATCTGATCGTCGCGCGTCATATGGCCAGCGGCAATGGATGCGGCATGGCCATTATTGTGCCGCGGATGTGGCAATGTGCAGGCATTGGCTGTAAGCAGAGAGAGAGGGAGAGATTTAATTAGTTATGTGTGAATAGTTCAGAGGTTGCATGTAATTTATGATTATGTTACTTCAAGACAAGAGCTGAGTTCTTATGCTCGTTCAGTTTGGGTTTGGGGTATATTAGTTAATCTTCTAATGAGTTGAGAAAGTTTTCTATCATGGACTGTTTCATTCTTGATCTATTCTATGCGTTAATCGCAATGTTCTACATATTTATTTTAAAGTTAAAAACCCGTATATATATTTACTTATATTTCCTTCACTTTTACCGCCCACTTCAACAAGTTTTCGCATGCAATCCACTCTCAGCAGAGATATGCATCTATAAATTATATAAATTGTGGCTTGGCAGCGTCGAAACTATCGATATTTGTATAAATTCAGCGGTTTTGAGACCATAAACGAGTATTATGCATTTAGTTCGTGCTGTTGCACGTAGCGCACAAGCGCAACCGCAGATGAACTGCAGCACAAATGCAATTTGTTTGCTGCAAATGACACATTTATAGCCGCATTTGCAACGAAGAGTGAAAAAAGGAAAAGAGGGCGAGGAGAAGAGTAACAGTCAAGGCAAGCCAAGCAAATGGCAAAGACTTTTCGGTAGAAGACACACCCACACATTCACACACACACACACCCACGCACACACTCTCTCACTACACATTGAGCTGTGTAAATGCACACGTAGTCTCCATTCAACATTCGAATTGCATTGCGATTCCCCTGTCTCCTGTCTCTAGTCTCCTGCTGCTGCTGCTCCTGCTCCTGCTCCTGCTCCCCATCGTTGCCCATTTAGACATGCGTTTGCGTTTTCACGTAGGTGCAACATTTTGCTGCTTTCTGGTTCATTTGCTGTGCAAACGTTTGGAAGTGCATAAAACGAAAACCATTAATTGCAGCTGCAGCCGCACTCGCAGGTGATAAGAGACTCAGGTGTTGCTCTGATAAGTTCAACTGGGCAAATCACTGGCTAGACCCATACAAGCTCTGCCATTGCTGGCTATTTATGGCCTCTACTTATGATAAGACAAGTTAGCTGTTAGCACACACACACACACGCACGCACACTCTCACACAAACCCAGACATACTCAGGGCAAAGCTTTAACCACTTCAAATTTGGCTGTCATTCGTGAAGGCGTGAAAGCCACAACAAATTTGTAATTTTGTAAAATAGACTTAGACAACAAGACACACATACACACGCACACCCACACAGAGACAGCCACACACCCATACACACCTATTTTGGCTGAAATTCCAGCGTACGCTCAAATGTAGGCAACAATAATTTTGTTAAGAAACTTGAGCAGGCTGCGGGCTGTGGCATTGCCAAACAAGCAGACAAATCGAAGACGCCCCACAGAGGAAACGAAAAACTGTGCAACAGAGACAGAGAGAGCGGGAGAGAGAGAGAAAGAGAGAGAGAGAGAGAGGGAGGTCATGGCTGTAGCTGAGCTGCTTACGTGGCTCCCATGTTCATTTTGTGGCTTGTTTACTTTGCATATGCGTATTGTGTATGCGTGTGTAATACAAAGTGTATTACTGCCTTGACTAGGTGGGGATGGGGGTGGGGGCGGAAGTGGGTGGTGGCGTTGCTGGTAGTAGCCTGTAGTAGCACCTTCAAAGGAGCTCGCAGCATCGGGGCTGTGCTCATGAATTATTGATTTTTCGATCAGCAGCAGCGGCAAGAGCAACAGCAGCTGAAACCGCACTAACCAATTGCCAGTTGCCAGTTACAGCTAAATCAAAATCAGAGCAGCTACAAAAAAGCAAAAGCAGAACAACTAGTCGAAGAAGAAGAAGCAGCAGAAGCAGAAGCAGAAGTTCACTTTTGTGCATATGTAATGCACATAATTGGCCAGATACTTGCAACGAACTAGCTATGCATGCCACGCATGCAACACATATGTAGCACACAGACAGAGAGAAACACACACACACACACACACACAGAGACATTTATCAACAAGCAGCACTCATTTCATATTAATAGCCTTGCTGAAAGGCAATTATTTGGTCGAAAGTGTATTGTGCATAGTTAATGAGGAAATACAAGGTATTGCGATTGGTTCTATACATATACATATATGTATATGTATATATATTTATATATACTATTCATATGAACAGCGCTATACATATGTATATATGTACATTGAGCACAGAATGAGGGGAACATAATATTTTGTAAACTGCAATAAATTATATATGATGTGAGTATGATATTCATATATAGAGTATATTGACAGATATATTACTCAAATTCCATACTTAATCTGGAGCTGGGCAAAAACCTACGCAACTGGATCAATGTTTCCATTGAATGTTCATTTACAGCTGCTTCCAATTATTTTACGTGTATTTACACATTTGTAGTACCAATAATCCACTGTAGATGGCGTTTATTTTGAGTAAAGGTAAAGAAATGTTTTTTAAAAATCAATGGACTTGTTTTTGTAAGAAAAACAAAAACTGTCTTTAATCCCTGAAATGGCTGCCTTGAGTCTGTGAAATGATATAGAGTTGTCAGATGGACCCGTCGAATGTACCATCCTGTACGCTTTTGCAATAAAAATTAAATAGCTGGTTATAACTGGTTATATTAATTAGCCTAGTAGATGCTTATATTGATTAGCCAAAAATCCTGTTTCCATATCGATTTTCTAGCAACAAAACTTAAAACAGGTGTTTCACACATGGATAAACACAAATTCTTACTCCTTATCATTAGCAAGGACAGTAAATACTCCCCCCTATAACAAGGGTATACGAGAATATTAAAATTCTGTCTGTTTCGCTTGAAGCTGACCAAGTCAAGTCTATGGAAATTTCACAGAGCTTGGCTTTTCATTTAATGTTTGTTGCTTCTTCTTCTTCTTCGCTCTTCCCCTTCATCATGTTCATTTACTGTTTGCTGTTGCATATTTGCACATTTGTAGTTCGGCAAATCGCCCGCAGATGGCGCGCGCACCGGGCTGGGCTATCCGTTTCGTGCGGCTTGCTCATTAACAGGGTGGCGCTTTCAATGGTATCTCATTAAAAATGCGCTTCACAGTTTGCTTTTTGGCTTAAATGCAATGGCCATCAGCTGGGGGAGGCAAAGGGGGAGAAGGCGGGACTGGGTTGGGTGTAGGCGACAAAGCTAGCTTGTTTTGTTGTTGTTGTTGTTGCTGCTGCTGTTGCTCATCTATTATTTGATCTCAATTGAGGCAGCAACAGCAGCAGCAGCAGGTGGCAACAACTAACAACAAGACAGTTGTGCAAATGCCTGCATGTGTGTGTTTTCATGCACATGTGTATGCGTATGCTGACTACCATCTGCCGTCCCCCTCCACTCCTCACTCCGCATGCTTACGGCTCTTGTTTGAGCTTCAGCTTCCGGCAAGCATTTTAATTTTTATGCCACGAGCCATTTTTTGTTTCACATCTTTTTCGCTCTCTCTCTCTCTCTCTCTCTCCCCCTCTCTCTGCTTCCTTTCCTTTCATTCGTTCCTCTCGCCTGTCTTTTGTGAGCGCGTTCCGTGTTCGTGTTTTTGTGCGGTTTTTCTTGTTGTTCTTTCGTTTATTTTCTTTCATTTTTGTTTTTTTCCTTTTATTTTATACCACGCAGTCGCATACATAATTACGCGCACTGTAGCCGAGACTCCGTCTCCAGCGCCAGCTCCATCTCCATCTGAGTTTATCTGTGGCAAGTCCTTGTCTCGCAGCGTCAAACGCTATCAAATGTTTTTGCTCTTGCCATACACTGCCAAATGGTATATTTATTTTGGCAAAACCTAGGCAGGCATACGATATTGAATATGCTTTATTTTTGGGTTAAGTTGAGCAAATAATTCTATGATGTGGAATTTCGAATATTTTAGTAAATCGCATCTCAATCGAAGAGAGAGATTAGAGCTAATATGACAACTGGCGCCCTCGGCTTTAGTATATGATATATCACTATATTATTATAGGATTCACTTTCATGTTGGTCCTAAGAACTCCTTGAAAAATCTTTCCATTATAGCTCAATTTCAATGTTATCGATAACTTAAGCAGCTGCTCAATTATAGTGATCGATATCGAAATATTCGTATTTGGCCAATTCATGGATATGACAAGAATATCATATCTATATATATCCTATAAACAAACAGCTAATCAGATCTAGAATTTAACTTCTTCCATATAATTGCGCACATCTATTGAAAAACCCATCATACTTCTATGCTGGTAAGTGTATCTAGCATTCGTCTAGTGCATGCTAATAACATATTTTTTCGTATTCTTCTTGATGTTGTTGCTGTTGTTGTTGTTGCTGCTGCTGACACTTTTGAAGTATGCTCCACTTGGCGCCTTCAGTTGTCGAAATTCGTTGACATAAGGTAATTGTATTTTTGATATTCAGCAGCGAGCAGAGAAGCGCGACAGTGGCGGGGCACACGAGGCTGAGAGGGGAGTGGCAAAATGCAGAGAGAGAGAGAGGGAGAAAAACAAAAAAACAAAAGCAAAAGTTTGCAGCTAATGTATTTTTATTATTTTTGCGCTTTGCATTTGAAATGCAGTTGCGTGAGATGCTTTCAGCAATGTCTCCGGGTCGGTCTCCATCTCCGTCTCCGTCTACGTCTCCGTCTTTGTTTCGGTTTGAGTCTCCATCTTAGTCTGAGTCTACGTCGCCGTCTGCGTCGCCTTTCCAGTCGGAAATGTTATTATAATACGACCATTGTTTTTTCTTGCGTCTTCTACTTTTGGCTCTTGCCCTCTTCCTCTCCCTTTCCCTTCCACTCTCTCCTACTCGCACGCCCACTCATTCTCTTCTCTTCTCTCTGTCTATCATTGAGTTTTATTATTTTTTCATTTTCATGCGGCTTGATGAACGATATTCTTAAATTCTGACGCACTCTTAAATTAGCACAGCGCCGAAACGTGATTTGGTTGCTAGTGCTCCAGCTCCAGCTCCTGCTCCTGCTCCTGCTCTTGCTCCTGCTGCTGCCCCATCTCCTGCTCCTGCTAGCTGGCGACTGCCTCAGCATGAGGATGTGGTCAAACACACACACACACACACACACACACACACACACACACACACACACACACACACACACACACACACACACACACACACACACACACACACAAAGACAGAAGCACACACACACGTACAGACCCTCTCATGAGTCAATTGAAAATCAAGACTGGCAAAAACTTTGCTGCTCAATTACAATTAAGATGGAGATGTTGCACACTCAAATTGAATTTTCATCGGGCGCTCGCGCACTTAGTTGCTCAGCGCATCTCTCTCTGGCCGATATCCGTTTTTACATCGCTTTTATTTTTAGCTCTGATTGCAATCATTGCCATCAAATCAGGCAACAACTGCAATTGCAATTCCAGCTGCAGCTGCAGCTGCAGTTGCAGTTGCCTTTGCCTTTGCCTTGGCTGTTGCTGTTGCAACTGCAGCAAGGACTTTGCCTTGACGTTCGCTGACAGCGCGTGCAACTCTCAACTTGGTTCGGGGCTTTTTATTCTTTTCATTTTATTCTACATTTTGGGGTTTTTTTCCGCATCCAAAAGTTAATTATCTAAAATGCTTTTTATGTGCTCTGCTCTGGCTCGCTCTAGTTTCGCTTTTATACCCTGGGCATGGCAATGGCGGGTAGCTTGTTTATTTTTTTTTTTTTGAATGTCTCTCATTGATAGAAGAAGGCGAACGAGTGAATGAAAAGAGAATGACGAGCTGATTCGATCTAGCCTCGTTTGTAGTTCTTGTAAACTGATATGGCTAGAGACCTGAATGGAACAGAGAGATTGAATGGAAATGAAAATGAGAGAGAGAGAGAGAGAGGGAAAAAGAGAAAGAGGGAGCGAGAAAAAAAAAAAAGACAGATACTTTTTCCATTTGTATTCTGCTCCCCTTCTCTTCTCTTTCATTATTTCTTGTGTCTTTTCACTCAGAGAGCAGCCGTTCCGTTTCGTTCCGTTTTGGATATCCCCCGACCTTTTGGTTCAGCTCGTGATTGTATTGGTATGTGTGCGAGGTTTGTGTTCGTTAAACAATCGTATCGCTCTCTGAAAGATGTTCACACGAATAGAGATCAAAACCGAAAAAATCCCGAAGCCTCCTGCTCAGAGCGATCTCATGCACAGATCGTGACCGCTCACATTTTAATGTCACAATTACGCTTGGAAAATTGCATTATGATCTAAATTTATATGGAGGGCTAGGTATATTATTTTATAATAACTCTAATTGCTTGACTTTTTGTCCCAATTAGTCATAATTTTTATTTTAAATATTTAAAAATCTTAAAA